AGGGTTTAGGGCTTAAGGCCCCTAAACGACCGTGCCCCAAAAACAGTAACTCCTCAGAAGAAAGTGCGCAATGTCCTTCAGTGGATTCAAATAAACTACTCATAACTCCATGAACCCCAAGGGTTGCCAAGGATACCCCTAGACCCTAAACTCTAAGCCTTAAACTACCCGAAGCTCCAAATCATGGACCTTGAATCATAAATCCTGAGCCCTAACTCCTGAATTCACATCCTAAATCCGGAATCCTGAACCCTAAGCCCTATTGAGAAACCAGTAGCTCTAAGCCTTGACCCTCACGAACACAAATGCAAAACGTAGAGGGCTTAGGGTCTGGGGTCTATCTTAGGGCTTATGGTTTGCGGTTTAGGGTTCAGGGTCCCACTTAGATCCTAAATCCCAAGCCCTAAACTCCAAGCCGTAGTGAACTCCAGACCCTCATGAACCCTAAGCTCTAAACACTAATCCGCATAGACCTATAATAGAGAACCATTATTGTTACAGGTTCCTTGGAGTTATAACAAAGCCAAATCTTTTCACAAAAAGTAAGATCTTCAGGAGATACGAGTAAACGCCAAGGCCGTCGGAAACCAGGTCCTAAAAGCCTAAAACCCTAAACTCCAAACCTCAAACCCCTAAACCCGAAGCCCCTAAACCCCTAAACCCCTAAACCCCTAAACACGTCACCCGTCAACCCTAAACCGGGGAAGCCTGCGCCCCTCGCAAGGCTTCGAGTCCATCGCCTGGGAAGGCAAGTTTTGAAAGGCGGTGAGGGTTTCGGGTTTAGGGTTCAGGGTTCAGGGTTCAGAGTTTAGGGTTTAGGGGTTGGCGGGTCAGAGGTTTAGGGCTTGAGGTTTAGGATCTAGGCTTCAGGGTTTTGGATTTGGGGTTAGCTGCAATGCTTAAGGGCACCCTAAACCCTAAACCCTACACCTGAATCCCTAAACCCATAGGGCTTATATGGGACTTTTATAGAATAAAGTCCTACAAGGTGCAGGCTGCAGCATTGCTAAGGTTTCTTGTAGGGTTTGGGCTTTGGAGTCTGGGCTTTCCAGAGTTTAGAGGTTTGTAGAGTTTAGGGTCTAAGGTCTAAAGCCTGGGTTTTGCAAGGTTTGGAGCCTAGGGTGGGGGTTTAAGCTTGGGATTTGCTGGGTTGGATTTATAGGGTGTCAGGTTTGGAGACTATAATGCAGGGTTTCTGGATGAGGATTGTCATAAGATCACAGGTGGCTGAGCCTCAAAGGAACCCTTTTAGGGTTTAGGGTTTCGGGTTAGGGGTTGAAGGTTTAGGGTTGTGGTGTTTAGGGTTTTGGATCTAGGGCTTGGGGCTTAAGGCTTTGGTTTTAGGATTTAGGGCTCAGGGATAGACCATATGGCAATTATTACCCTTGTACGAGCCGTATATGAGCCGTGCATAGGGGTGCCCACCTGGTAACTAATCACCTAGAAATGCGTCCTTTGAACTTCTACTTGGTTCTTCTTCTGTCCCGCTGCAGGCTTCGGCTATCAGCTATGGATATGATGTTTCCCAAATTTACGGCTACCACTGTTGGGGTACCTACAGCAAGGATTATCATATTTCGGGGGTCTGTATCAAGCTCCCCCAGCTTGTGGGAACTACCATATGGCTACGGCCACTATTTGGCTCTAAGCTTGCTTTGGCTGCGCCAAAAAAATTCACCAACGTGACAGATGCTTCCTCAAATGCAACTAGCCCATATGAGTTATAGTCCAAACTCCTAACATCCCTCTTAATAACCCCTATAATACTCCCATGTATAATCCCCCATGTAACCCCATGTAAGGAGTCTAGACTATAGCTCATATGGTAATGTAACTGTTTTCTTGCTGTGCTTGTTACTACTACACCAAAATTGCACGATGCCCAAAAACCCTGTGGTGGGTGCTTCTCGCACTGAACGTCCCTAAGTCTGTAGCTCCCAGGAACTATTATGGTCCTCATGCTCATCTTAAAAAATCTTAAAGGCACGCGATTCCTTATTGTAGAGACGCGAACCCCCAAACCCACATGTGAGTTTCTAACAATATCAGCTTCCCCTACATTTCTCTAAGCAAATTTCAAAGACGACAAGGATACACAAAAAAGACATCCTCCCCCCCCCCACCCCCCGCGATTTTGAGAAAACCTGGCATATGAGCAACTCCGACTTTTGTTCTTCCTCACACTTCTGCTTCCGCGGCTGTGGAACATGCTGCTGGACCCGGCAAGAGTCGCCAACCATCGCGCGCCACTCCTCTGAATTTCAATTGCACAGGGCTTCTATAGGATAATAGGAATACTTACAGGGAAAAAGGGAAGATACTCCCTAGAATCCTCATTTGACATATTCCATATTATGTCCTACTAAGAACCAGTTTTTTTCTAAAAGGTTTATGGGATCTTCATGCAGTTGCTTACGGTTTTGGTGTGAAAGCTATAACACCAGAGCTGTTGGGCTAACAAGCCAGACCCTCGTCTCGGAAACTAACCGAGTTATAGTCTAAACTCCTGGTATCCTCCTTAGAAACCCCTATAAGGCTCCCCTATAAGACTCCCTTATATAACACCCCTTTACGGAGTTTAGACTATGGTATGACTCTTGCTCAGATTGGACAGGGTACCTTGGTACTGCGGAGTGTGACCTTGAGACTAGGAAGCCACGTCAAGTACGCTGTTTAGGGTTTAGGTGTGTAGATGAGTAGAAGGGCCGGTTAAGCCAAGGGAGTCTAATCCGTGGGTTCTTAATGATTAACAGATTAACATTGGGAGCCTTTTTTCCCATCACATACGCTATAGAGCCCTCAAACGCCATTAAGGGCCCATGGCTAGGAGCCTTAGGTGCCCTGAGTTGGAACTTAAATTTGACTCTATCCTGCGTCCCTTGCGCCCCACACCCGTACGAAATCCCCTGCCCCCCAAGAATGATAACCACCACGGACAACAACTATCTAGCTAACGAAAGAAAATATCATAGTCAAGGATTCCCTGAACCTTAGAACCAAAACATGGAATAGTCGTTATGGGGAGAGAGCGGGGATGTTTTACAAGGGAGAGGGGATAAATTTACAGGGCCGAGCGACTGTGCACGTACCATGCGCAAACAGTAGATTCAGGGTTTAGGGTTTTTAGGGATTTAGGTTTTTGGGTTTAGTGTTTAAGGTTGTACGGTTTAGGGTTTGAAGTTTGGGGTCTCGGGCACAACCCTGAAATAGGAATCTATGTGATAATAAGGAGAGAAGCTTGGTCCTGGATATCGTTCTTTTCGAGGTCCAGATAGTTGGTACAGTGGGCAGCTGCCCTCGCAGAATGGAGCCCATCCTGACCTAGCGGGCTTTGGGGTTGTTTAGGGTTAGGGTTTTGGGTTTAGGGCTATCAAAGCGAGTGATGCGGCTATGGACCAACAGGATATACACTCATGCAAGCTAACATGGAACTCTACAAGAGGCCCTATATAGACTACTGGTGTTTTAGAAGGGGCCCGTATGGTGAGTATGGTGTATGGGCTTCCATGTTTCTTGTGCGAAGGGTGCGTCTCAGAATTTCGGACTCAAAACCGGGGAATCCCTTGAGAATAGGAGGCCCGAATGGACTGAAGGGATGTTGTGTTTATGCAGCCGACGGATTTCGAGGGTTCACATACGGACCATGCGGGTATCTGCAACAAGAAGTTTGTGGGTGCATGTCAAGCAACACTTTGCGGAACAACCTAGGCTGGCCTGTCGATACCGACATCAAAAAACTGGCATGCCTGGGATTCTAGCAAATGTCTCAACATTAGTATATTATAGTAGTTTCCATTTTCTTTTCCATTATCCTATTATAACCCCAATGTACGATAGTAGATTCCATTTTCTTTTCCATCATCCCATTATACTCCCAATATACTATAGTAGTTTCCATTTTATTTTCCATTAATCCCTAAACCCTAAACCCAAAACCCTAAACCCCAAACCCTAAACCCTAAACCCTAACATTATTGGGTGCAACTCTTGGAGCCCTAAATCGCAATCCTCAGCCCTGAACCCTGCCTTGCCTGGGTTGCTGTTAAGGAACTTAAATTAAGTTACGTACTATACTGGGGAAACCCATAATGGGGTTTAGGGTTTAGGGTTTAGGGTACTATACTGGGGAAACCCAACTATTTACTATATATACCCATTATGGTAACTTAACTTAAGTTCCTTAACAGCAACCCAGTTGCCTGTGGACTGATGTCAAGAAGTCGTCTGGGTATACCGTTGCGTGCCTGGGCTTGCTGTTCAGTCCTTACTCTAGCTTCCGGTTTGAGGATTCAGGAAATTTAATTAACATCATTGATGATTTGCACTGGAAACTCAAGGTTTACGGACCCTTGTCTTCCCCAGAGAGTCCATATATACAACTACAAGGGAATTAGGCCCCCAAATACCATGCTGCAGAAGGAATTATGGGTCCCAATTCCCTAACGGTTGTATATGTGGACCCTCTGGGTTCACGTACCGATAAGGTAGTCGTCTATTTGTCAAGTCCTCGGCAGTTGCTCAACGATGGGCGCCTGACGGACATGTTGCCTGGCAATTCGTCACATCCAAGTTCCAAACCCTATAATGAGGGTTACCCTTTTAGGGGTCCTTGTAATAAGGGCTATAGTATATTGGGGTCTATATAGGGGTCCCATAATTTTGGGAAAACACCCTGCACCGCCCCGCAGACCAACGAGATGTCTCGTAAGCCTGCATTCCCGTGCTAACACCGATAAGTGATAATTTTGTCGACGGTGCTGCGTACCTCAAAAAACATACACTCCCACATGACATCAGTGTTGAAGTGACCCGCTGGCCTCTAAACAAGTGAAGAAATTCTTGCGGGGTGCTCAGGAATGAGACTAAGAATAAGAATAGCCGCCTATCCCTGCAAGAGACGGCTGGCGCTTTGGTGTAAGGAGTGGTGTGAAATGCCCATATGAGCCATTCTCTAAACTCCTAGTATCCCCCTTCATAAGCCCTATAGTAGCCCCCGATATATAATCCCCCATATAACCCCCTTTAAAGAGTTTCGGCTATGGCTCATTGGGGGAAAATACCATCCTTTTATAGATGCTACGCTGCGATCGTGAGTACTTTATTATACTTCCCTACCCGAGTGGTGACCGCATGTCGCCTTGGCCTTTACACTGTACTTAAGACATGCTGACGATTCTCATTATTCTGGGGTGGTGGGGGCCCAAAACTCATGGCAAAAAATGGCCAGGTCACTGGAAGTAACGCCGCACAAACCGGCCCCATCGATCCTGAAGGCATGCGGCACTGGACTGAACTATGGGCAATTCACCCCGACACAATTTGTCAGGGGGAATACCCGTGTATTCCGTTTGCATTCGCATGTACTTCCAATGTCCTCAAGGGCGTTGGTCCGAAACCCCTATACCCTACTTGAATTTCAAGTTGAACATGGAGCAATGTTTGTGAATGTCCGGCTCAGTACAAGGTCTGTACCATCAGCATTTGATTTGCGCTGAAGACTCCCGTATAGGGGCCCAAATACCTTCAATATGATTTTGAAGCTTGTGTGACGTACCCTGCACCGGAAGTATACAAGGAATCTAGACCATAACATGGGTCCTTGTTCATTCAGCCTTCAAAAATTCAGTAGTTCTGATAGAAGCCGCATGCATGAGAACTCGCGAGCATGATTTACCATCCTTGTGTTCGTTGCTGTTCGTTACGTATGCATCAAATAAAGGCTATCGTTGCCCAACATTATGCTTGTCGCGCGTTCCCTTGTGGCACATGGTGTTTGTACACTGCATTTAAGAATTCGGAGAAGCATCTAGCCCTTGGCAATTCTTTTCATTACAAAAAGAACCCCTACCACAATATTCTCAAGGCCCAAGTATCCAATAACCATGTACTTCTTCAACATCTGCATTACAACCGCGTTTCACCAAAGCACAAACACTTCACCAACGGGGTTTGGCCGCTTGAGACCCTAACATCCAAAGCCTGCACCCTGAAGCCTCAACCTAGGTTCCCACGAAACCGATTTAATAACAAGGATATCCTTTTCCTAGTGTTCAACTTGAATAAGGCGACCCCCAAATAAAAAGGGAAAAAGGGCACTACTGGGGTACCTAGGCAATAAGAAGCCCAAAATCCGAAAGCATGGCAGCACCGACTCACTGCGGCGAGGTGTCGGCGAATTTCTTCTGCGAAACGGATGGCGCCAAAAGCACGCGAGTACTGGCGGCAGGGCATAGGGAACAGGACTACCGTTTAGGGTCCAGGGCTCAGGGTTGAGTTCGGGGGCTTTGGAACCCAAACCCTGGGTTGGGTTTTCATCGCAAGCACGCTCCGCCCTCACCGTCATGGCCCTGAGCTGGTAGGAAGGGGCAGGTATGTAATTGGGCTTGTAGGGATGGGTAGGTAGGCAGGCAGGCATGGGCAGCGTAGGAATGGGAAGGGATGGGTAGGTATGTCATAGGTACTTGATTCGTGCCCAACAACAGCCCAACCCCAACCCCTCACCAGACACACCACCCCCACCGTCCTCACCCCACGGACAGTTTTGTTCAGCCTACACCCTAAACCCTCCAAGGACAAGCCTAGGCCCTGCAGGAAAACTAAACCTGATTTACTCCATTGTCCAAGACATTTGCAAGCTTCTGATCAACCCTAAGCCCTAAACCTCCCTGAACTCTTCAGCTCATCAACCTCCCAGGCTCCGCCCCTGAAAACTCTAAATGCAAAGCTCCAAACCTCAAACCCTAAACCTACACCCGGAACCATAGAAATTAGGGTTTAGGGCTACAAAATCTCAATCACTGCATACCTCATCTGTAAACTTAGACCGTTCTTGCTTGGGACACGCTACATAAGCAAGGAATAGAAAATCAGCGGGAATCTTGAACCCCCTCTTAGTATACAGTACCCCTAGAGGCTATTCTTGCTTGATCTCTCTTGCGGAAACTTGTGCCATTCTAGGCGCGGGAGAATCTTGAGAGTCATTCTCCCAGGCCCTAACACCAGGAAACGAAACATGCTGCCTACCCCATGCATTCCCTATACGGTAATGTCGTTGTAAATTTTGACCTGCATATGAACCCCCCCAAGTACTACCTGTCCTATTATAAGTACCAACAAAAACCGACCCCAAAATTGATGCAAACCCACATCCTCGCTCATAAGCACCCAAAAAATCCATGCAACTTAGCTCGGCTTAGAACCCTTGACCCGACGAGACCTCCATGAAATTAGGGTTTAGGGTTCAGGGTTTGGGGTGTTGTACAGAAGATACTACACGTGAAGTTAAGTATCCTGAAACCAGGATAGGGTACGAAGGTCTAGGTAAGGTGGTACCCCTGGTCTTAGGGCTCCTTGTAGGAAACCCAAGGGAGGCCCACAGGTTCCTTTAAGGTTATTACTGGGGCTATGTTGGGGTAACCCCAAACTCTCAACCCTAATCCCCAAACCCTAATTCCTAAACCCTGAACCCTAAACCCTAGTCCCGAAAACCTCAACCCTAGAGCTTAACATGAAACCCCACACAAACTCCACAAAGCTCTTTGCTGCACTGGAGACCTTGGCTTGCTGATAGCGTGCATGAGCGGAAGAAGATATCCAGCACCTTTGTGAAAGGCTTGGGGTTTAGGGTTTAGAGTTCAGGTTTTGGGACTGGGAAAAGGGCTACCTGGCAAAATCATGGCCTCAAAACCACTGAAAATCTGAGAAAAAAAAAACGTTCAGAAGGCCAATATTGTGCATACTTTTGAAGGGTGTAAGTAAAGTCTAACGCTGGCCTCAACCCTAGGCCCTGAACCCTGATTCACAGGCCCAGCGAGTTGGAAAGTGTTCAAGGTTTGCCATAGGTTGAGACGCGTTAGCTTCAGCTTGTTCAACCCAGAATCTTATCCTACTTGGGGCCTCAAGTCTACATGTAGTAATTACCTGCTTCGGGCTATTTGGATGCTTAGGGGCGTGCCCTTCATTAGTGGATACTCTTCAGATCATATTCTGTTGTCCCCCTAGACCTATAATAGAAAAGGTATTTTCAAAACATCCTCACCCTAAGCATCCAAGCCTGTAAACCATACCTACTTGGGGCCTCAAGTCTACATCTAGTAATTTCCTACTTTGGGCTATTTGTATGCTTAGGGTTAGGGCTCTCCGGTAGTAAAATGAAAAGTAATTCCTAAGCAAACTACAGTATATGAGGTCTTAGCATCGCTTTGTAGTAGCCCCCATCTAACCCCAAACCTGAAACCCCAAACCCAAGACCCTAAGCCTTAAACCCTCAACCCTAAACCCCAAACACCAAGCCCTAAACTCCAAACCCTAAACCCAAGCCCTAAACTCTAATGCTTTTTTCCATTCCTTCATGCCCTACCCTAAGGATCCAAATACCCCAATGTAGGTGATGGTTTAGGGTTTAGGGCTGGTTTAGGGTTTGGAGTTTTGGGATGGTTTAAGGTTTAGAGCTTAGGGGTGGTATAGGGTGTAGGGTAGAGATCCAAATCACCCAATGTAGGTGATATTTGCAGACTTTAGGGCCCACTGTAGGTATCATTTCTATACACCCTACTAAGCACCAGCAAGCAAGCCGCTGTAGATAGACGTGCCCGACGCGATGAGGTCAAACTTCAACTCGGAAAGCTCGCTGCGGTGGCGCGTCTTCATGCATTCCTTCAATTGCCTGTGTGTTGAGTAAATTCCCCCGTACGGTTTAGGGTTTAGGGTTCAGGGCTTAGGGTTTCTTAGGTCAATCCCCTCTAGGGTTTAAGGTTTAGGTTTCAGGGTTTTAGGGTTTCAGGTCCATTCCCCCCTACAGTAATAGCAATAAATATGGAGTTAATGGAATTAATAGGTCTTAGTATACCTACCATAGTCCCTTGTGGTACCCATTACTAATTGGGGGAGTTACCCAACCTGTGTTGCCTTAAAAGCCCAGCCTTAAAAGTCCAGCTACCTGTTTGCTCGATTCATTGGTTGCAGGTTACATAGATCTAGGGGCTAAGGAACAGAAACTCAATAAACGGATAACTGGGCCTCTAGCGTTCGATTGAGAGTTCTTCTGGCACACTTCTCGATCGTATGCTTTTAGCGCTTGGGGTTTCGGATTTGGGGCTTTGGGGGTTCAGGGCTTCGGGCTAGGGGGCCTCGATTCTGTAGTCCGCTCAGACTCAGACAGAACATATTATTATTTTATACTATAATAGGAATTAAAAATCGATTCCTAAGGAGACTACAGTATGTAGTGAAACTACCCTGTAACAACACAGCCCTAACATCAGGAGCGTCGTGGCCTGCTCTTTCTCACCTTGCTTCATGCGCAAGGTTCGGAAGGTCCACTGAGACCTATGAACTTCCTAAACCCTAAACCTCAAATCCTAAAGCCTAAATCTCTGGAGGGTTGGAAACTTTCAAGGCTTCTAGACGTCCTTGCGGGTAGTTGGTGATCTGAAACACATATACTTCCATCACAAGCAGCTACAATTGCTTGTTGAACACCTTGTGGGATTTCTACCTCTCTCGTAGCCATGCGAGCTTGATTCGAGATTACCATGCAAGCAGCCCATATACTAGGTAATTCTCCTACTACTTCTGACCTACGCGGTGTTTCTTGGGATCCAAATGGGTTCCTGTTTACCACCCCATAAACACCTACATAATCCCAGCTTCCGTTTCATTTCCCATTTAACTCTACATTATAAGCACTTTGGGGTCAAAGTATATCATTGGAATGCCTGAGCTTCCTAAGGCACAAGAGAATCTACCCTTTCATTGTACCCGGACTTCAGGAGCCCAACCACTGCGAAATAGGGTTTAGGGGTTTAGGGGTTTAGGGTGTGGCTCGGGGAAAGATTGAAAGTGGCGCATCACCCAGGGCGGGTCCTAATTTTTGCCTCAACCAATTTCTGGCCTCCATCTCTACTTCAAATCCTTCTGCGGAAATAAAAGGAAAACACAAACCTCTATTCCTTTTTGGGCTTCAGGAAACAGAAAAGATGAATGATAAGCGGCCCTGGGATTGCGCACATAAAGCTCCTACGCACAAAAAACATCTGTTCCTTTAGGGTGTTCATGCTTGAGCCCAAAACCCAAAACCCAGTGGTATTGACTATATGGCAAGTCATGTGACAGTCCGACGATGTAAAGCGCAACCCTTGGTGCTATAGCCTCCATCGCAGTCGAAGCACGACAGGCTTTGTCGCACTGGCTGCGTCCAGTTCATCTTGCAGAAAACCACGCGCGACTGAACTGCCGCTGCTAAATTGACCTGGTAAGTTCCTTTTTGTTCTTGGGGGGGGGGGAGGGGGGTTGGAGGGTTGAAGCGGATGCAGAGTGCAGCTTTCCTGTTACAACCATGATGTAGTGACCGAGGGGTTCGGAGGATATGTAAATATGCACACAAGACTGTGGTATCAGGAACGGAACTTCTGGTAGTAAAACCAACAAGGATGCTCTTCCTACTGGGGACTGCACGGGAATCCATGCCTGAATAGGCCCTACTCGCTAGCAGGCCCTATCTTGACACCTGACTATGTCAACAAACAGGAACATGGTTAAGGTGTTAGGGGTTGAGGGCTTGAGCGTGCAGGAGGCTTAGGGTTTTGGGTTTGAGGAGGACCCTGCTCTGTAATCAAGGAACCATGAAAGCATTGAATTCCCCTGAGCCCCCGACATACTCCCAGCTGGGAGTGCTTCAAGATGGGGTTAGCGCTGAAGATCATACATGTGAGTCGATGTCTGCATGCAGGTATATACAACATGCCTGCAAATATGAACATACGCATCAACGCCAATGATAACGATGCACTAGGCCATGTAAGGGGATGATGCGGATCCCTCTTATCCTGGCTGGATGATGGGTACTTTCCTAGTACATGACGTGCTGGCCCTAGACCTTGAACCCTAAACTTCAGATCCTGAATCCTAAACCTCCCTAAACACCAAACGCTCCAGAGGTCAGGATCTAGTAGGATTAGTGCAGTACCTCGGCTAACCCTCAACTTTCCCTGATCGGCTGGTGGCAGCGCCTTTGCGCCACCTTTTTAAGTCTCCCAGAAGCGCATGGCTGTCGTAAAACCGCCAGACGCTAAGTCCCCAACCCTAACCCCTGAACAACAAACCTTCAAACCCCGAACCCCAAACCCTCCCCTCAAGTAACCCCAAAACCCCAAAACCCAAAACCCCCAAATACCCCCAAACCCAAAGCCCTAAACCCCTTAACCCCAAAACCCAAAGCCCCAAACCCCTTAACCCCTAAACCCAAAGCCCTTAGCCCTTAAACTCCAACCCGCGCCTCCAGATTTTTGGCAAGCGTGCCGCCGCCGTAGGCATCTACCACAGTCACCCAGGCTCCATTCAGGGCAGCAGCAATGCTGCTAGCCCCTACGCCTTCCGTAGATTAGGGTTTAGGGTTAAAGGGCTTAGGGCTGTGGGTTTAGGGGTTTATGGGTTTAAGGCTTTGGGTTTAGGGGTTAAAGACTTAAGGGGTTAAGGATTTAAGGGGTTTAGGGCTTGGGGTTTAGGGGTTTAGGAGTTAAAGGGTCTAGGGCTTGGGGTTCAGGGGCTAAGCCCCTACGCCTGCCAACAGACAAACCCAACAGTTGCGAGTGACCGGATGGTATTCTGGCATGTTTCGTCTTTCATGTTACATTATCAGTATATTCATACACATATATATATATATGTATAAAGAGAGAGAGAGAGAGACAGTGTAGTATATTGTAATATCGAATAACAATATATTTAGGGCAAATGGCGTATAGGACTTAGGATTCCAAACGCAAACCTAACCGCTTAGCATCTAGGATTGGTCGAGCTCGTAGGACTTCGGATGCGAAAGCCAACCTGACATGGCACATCGTAAGATAATATCTCATAATGTATCTTTAATATGTTCCAGCATATTATATTAGCATTGAAGACTATTATCGCATATTCTGGTATATTCCAGCTTATAGAATATGACTTGCGCCCGCGTGGAGGGGACGAAAGCTTTCAAGCAGGGTGCATACCAGCACGTGCATTTTTTCATGAAGCGCGGAGCGCGAACGGCCTCCGCGTGCCCAAGAACGGCTTCCAACGTGCCCATCCGGCGTCCCAAACGGCCTCCACGGCACCCGAAACGGCACCCCGAAACCCCTGTTTTCGAGGCCCACGAGGACACCTCCCGCAAACCCTCCTGCCGTCGGGTCTGGCCCGCGAAACATGGCTAAATTTGACCACTTTTGGCCTTTCCTAATCCCCACACCCCCTAAGTACAGATCAGCAAAACTGGACTCAGACGAAATCTTGGGAAGCTTTCGTAACAACATATGATCGTGTATTCTTGAAAGTTGTGTTACAGTATACTACAACATTTTACAAATTATGGTGTAGTATAGTGTAATCTAGAATGTTCAGAATATAGGGACGGTTATTGTATACTAAACCCTAAACCCTCAACCCTAAACCCAAACCCGGAACCCTAAACCAAACCCTAATGTCTAAGACCTGAGGATGCTTGTAAGTGTCCCCAGCAGCGAACACTCGTGCTCCAAGGTGTCCAATTACCGGGACCCCCCTTGTACCCTTAAATGGGGGGTATATGGTCCCTAATAGTGGGTATTTAGAATAGATAGGGGGTAGATGGAGGGCCTAGGTACATATTAACCGTTTTGCGGCCTCAAGTGTGATATGCTGTAGAGGTACTTGGCCTCTCTGGGAGATTGCAATAATCATGATGGAGATGACGAAGGTCTTAATCGCAGCAACCCCGACCCGACATGGTAGGAATTCATACTGCCATCGCACGATGGCATTGTCATCTTCATCGTCAGTAGTAACAGCAGTGGAACCCCGAATTCTAAACCATGTGGGCAGTCAACCGCCAGCCTCCGCCAAATTCAATGTACTCTGCGCTCATCCAGGAGCGACTGTTGACGCCGGCACCACACTCGAACCACCTTCCGGCTGGAGGGTTTAGGATTTAGGGTCTTTATGACGTAAGCTGCACATTGTACGCATAAACGTCGTCCAAAGCCCCGCCGGCCAAGGCGCTTACAACCAAAAAGGCGCTTAACCCTTTTTGTATCTTTTTGTAATCTCTGCAGTCTGCAGCCTGAAAACAACAGCTTGATGCCTCGACTGCATCCCACGACAGGGATACTGAATTCCCAGCCAATCTGAGTTTTTCGTGGTTGCTCCAAGTACTATTGTATTTTCTTATTAAGCACTCCAAGCAGAGGACGAAAACAATCTTACTCCCCATTTGGGGCTGTCGCTTCCCCAATTGAGATTATTCATCTGGGGCTAAGCCCGGAACCCTTAACCTTAACACTAGAGGTTCACAGGACTTAGTAACTACTTGCAACCGGGCTTGAAGACACATGCATAATCCCCCTACATCGCCTTATAGGGGTTACCCTAGTCATATGTATGTAGGGTGTAAGCCCAATTTAAAGTGGTCGCTAAGTCCCACAAACCTTCAAACCCTAAACCCTAAGCCCCAGGAGCTAAACCCTAAACCCTAATTCCTAAACCCTAAATCCTAATCCCTAAATCCTAATCCCTCAACCCTATAATCCCTAAACCCTGATGCCTAAACCCTGTAATCCCTAAGCCCTACTCCAAGTGATCCCTTTTCCCCTTCAGTCCCGCCGTAGAAGCTGGTAGCTTCCCGTCCACAGGAATCCCGCTGGCCAATGC